AGAGAATTCTGTTGCCCCCCCCCCCTCATCGAGGAAGGGAAAGAAACACGCACAGGTCTTGGAGCCCAAAGACTCACAGTGAGAAAGGTGCTTAAGACATTCGTTCCCAAACGTATCGTCAAAAGAGCTCCACGGCGTGGAAGTGTTTTCCGTGTGACGGAGCTAGGAGCCGGCAACTTCAAGAAGCACACACAGGGTGCGTGGCATAAATCAAGACCCATTGCTGAGCAGCTGATCTCAGAGCAGAACTCGGCCTGTTGTCATTGGTTTATGCCCTGAGGACGCAGCCCCAAGGTTACCTGGCTGGTTGTTGCCTGTTACGGGACAAGAGGAAAACCTCCTCCAGGCTCTGATGGTTCTAGCAGCTTTGCCAACTTCTGGCTGGTTTGCAGCTGCAGGTGACTTAGTAGGGATCATGGCTGAGATTTGAGTCTCATATGTCCTTCTCTCAAGCAAAACCAATTCCACCAGCTCTACTCAGCAGTGGAGGGGTTCACACCAACCAAATGGGGTACACAACCCCTCAGCTAATTTGCACTGTTGCCTGTAGCACAGTTGTTGCTGGGTGCAGCACTGGAAACACCTCTCACAGATCCAGCCGGAGGTAGGAGGTGAAGGAGAATTCTGTCCCAGCCTGTTTTTTTGGTATTTCTGCTAACCGAGCTCAGGAGGAGCTGCATTTCAGTGTCAGTGATTTTTGCCAGCAGGCACCAGCGTTGGTCCAGGATGCAAAAACAGGAATTGCAATCCAGGCACCTTGAACCAGTGGGCGGTTATTGCAGTCCCTGTGAGACCACTTGCTGCTTCTCTGACTGGATCCAACCGTTTCGTGGAGAGCAGAGCATCTCTATCTGAGATAGAGGCACTGAAAGGGAAACAGGAACGTAACAATTCTAGCTAATAAGCACCCTTAACTTTTGGGTATCTCTCCAAGGTTTCATTATTCACGATATACAAAGTTCCACGTTAAAAGACCGGTCATGTTGCAAAGTCAAAGTTTTACAATCTCAAAGTAACATTTGTTTCTTACATCTTACTACTAAGGGCCTCTATCTATGGGAGTGGGGAGGGGGGAAGAAAGAAGGTGAAGATAAGAATGGAAAATTCAAATCTGAATGTCTGACTAGCAAAGTTCTGAATAACTGAAAAGAGGCTTGTGATGGAAAATACCGAGTAACCTTAGCTATAGGTGTCAGTACCCAGTACGTCTGTGATGTTTTTTAAAGCAGGCAGAGAAGCGAAGCGTAGAGAGATAGGGATCAGCAGCGCAGATTCACAGGGGGGCTGAGCAGTCCCCAGCCTCCCGCCGCTCTCCCCCAGCACAGCTGGCTGCCGTTAGCCCTGCCCCGCGCGCCCTTGCACATCTGGCGGGCGCGGGGCGGCTGCAGGGCCGCGCCGTTCTCCCTGCCCCCTCCTTCTCCAGGCAGAACAGGAGACAAAGCTCATGAGGAGCGCCGAGCGAAGTCTGAGCGGCTGGTTTTTCTAGCGGGAAGTAGATGCAGAGTCATGCTGGCATGTGGGCAGTCCTCACCTAGGTGGCTGTAAGACAGGCTGGCTGGGTCCTCCATTGGCACTACAGCGTGTTGTTCTCAGAGAAAGAAGCACTCGCAGCCGTTCCAATGGGTCTTGGTTCTTGTTCTGGTTTGTATACCCCCGGATTCTCTGTGGGCAAGCCTGTCTCTCCCTCTTCTTCCAGTGGCACGTTTGCTGCAGGAGCAGCTTCTCGGACATGATAGAAGGGGCTCTTGTCTCTTGACCAGACAAGGAGACTATTTCTTGTGTCATTTTATTCCCTGTCTGACACCAAAGCAAAGATGCTTCCGTTGTGCTAAACAAATAAACTCATGCTTCTCTATGAAAACAAAACAAAACAAAAAATAGAATGGGGGCAGGGGAGCACAGTGAAGAAAGCAACAATGCAAAGGGATCGTTTAGATTTCCTTAGTTTGCCATGGAGACTTTGCAGAATTTGGAAGCAGAGAAGACTATCTCAGGCAAAGGAAAGAGCTTTGCAGTGTTGGGTAAGACTCACAAAATTCGGGACAATTGACTTGGCCAGTGTTGGGGACACAGAATTCTGACAAGATTGTTTAAAATGGGGAGGAGGGAGGCTGAAGAGACACAAACTCTGGGACAATAACCAATTATCGAGTGAAAGTTTGGCCCAGTTCCTTAATAGTTTCAAAGTAAAAGTTACTTATCTGGCAGTTTGATACTCCTCTCAAAATGGTCTAGAGCAACAATCCCTGCCTTACTAAAGGAAAACAAAAGGCAAGGCTTCTCAGAAATCCTGAGCTCCTCAAGGTTATCTGGCAGAAGCTGGTAAGACCTCAGCTCAGAGTTGCTGCAAGCACCAAGATGGCCAGGAGAGCCTGCAGGGCTGCTGGGTAGGGAACACAGGCGGTTCCCATCAGCTACCCATGGTCACAGCTGGGTGGAATGGAGGAGGTGGAGTGTGCCTGCAGCCTTCTAGAAACAGCACAACATTTGTGGAGACATCGGACAGGCAGATGCTGAAAGATGTTACTGGTTGTACGTAACCTGACAAAACGGGCATTATAGAGCAACCCTCAGTCAGAGGAACAGCAAGAAGGAAGGAGAGTGAAAGAGGAGTACATCTGTATTCCAGAACCCAAGTGAAGCAATGCAGTGGTAGCATCACAACCCCTTGGCACCTCTGCTTTGTGATTTAGACACAAAAGGAGTCCAGTACAGAAATAACCTGAGAGACCATAAACTGACCTCTAAGATCACATTGTCTGCAGCAGTAGCAAGTTGTGCTTGTTGTCTGCTTGTTGTCTAGAGATTCACGCTAGCCTGGAAATTCTCCCTTCTTTCCAAAGAACTCAGGAGTGCCTTCCCCCTCGCCCTTGTTCCCCACACTGGGTGGCCCTGAAATTCCCTGGGCTGAGGGAATTTCACTCATGCCTGAGTGAAAACACAGAACCAGTACCAGAGTGAAACAATGTCATGCTTTGCTCCTCTTGCTACCTTGAAGCAGCGTGTCCCTATTGAAAGTGAAACCGAGAAAGGGCTGTGGGCCTGATAAAAGCCTGGTCAGGGTAGGCTGCTCGTGAGGTGGAGGAAGGTGGAGCAGGACTCTCTTCTGGGTCCTCAGGCTGGAACCTGAACCTTTGAGGCACTTGGACCATGCACGAAAACTACGGAGATCACTGAAACAGAGGGGATAGAGAGCCCACCTCACCCCACTGTCCTCAGAAGCAGAGCTGGGCAGGGGTGAGT